TCCCAGTCCCTGTGAGGGGCTGAGAAGGCCTGCTCCATGTTTGTACAATGAAAATACCGTTCCCAAAGCCCTATCCCAGGTCCCTGAGGGGAGGCTGTGACGTGTCCCTCCTGAAGGGGCTCAAAACACCAAACTCACCTCTCACCAAACACTCGTCACTGCTAAACCGCCTGCATGTCACCCAGCGCAGGCAGAAGCCTGTGCTTTCATGTCTGGGTCTCCCACGGCTGGCACAGCAGTGCCTCATAATTGATACTCATTATGTTCAAGGTTTGCTGGATAAATGATGCAAGGCACAATGCACTATTACTAGGAGTTCCTCATGACATACCTGGCAGATAAATCACCTGCCTACAGTGTGACCTTGGACTCCTGCTCTGTGGTGTACTTTGAGGCTGAGATCAATGTTTAGAAAAGTGCCTTATGAACTTGAGGTGCTCTGGCCATGGAGGTTACTACAGATCATTTCCTCCCCAGGGTGGGATGTTGACTGGGAACTGGCCACTTCCCTGGGCTCCCAGTTCAGTCCAGCTGGGACTCCAAACGCCACTGCTGAGCAGAAGGGGAGCCGCCTCATTTATATGCCACAGGACAAAAATGCCGCTTTGCATCTAATTCCAAGGTTATATTGTCCACAGAGCCCCAAGCTAAATGTGCCCCTGGCCCTGACAGCAGGCACAGGCTTTTCTGTCCCAGTCTTTAATTCTATGAGCAGAAGAGCCAGGCCCTGAGGTTGTCAGCCCTCAACCTGTAAATCAGTCACCCGGGTCTCCGCTGCTTTGGGTCCTGGCCTCTGCCCACTGCAGGCTCTCCAAGGAGGGGAAGTCCAGGTGCCGGCAGCTTCTGGGAAGATAGGCACCACCTGCAGTGGCTCCCCAGTCCTCTCACAGTTCCCAGCCACCCTGGGCTCCCGCCCTCACTGGGTACTCACCAGCACTCAGCAGCTCCCGAGTGACGGAGCCACCTGAGCTCACCACGTTCTGGGTTTCATGACAGTGAGACTCTCGATGTCTCTGTCATTAGCAAAGGCCACCAGCTGAAGGTGCTCAGCCTACTTGTGTCTGAGAAAGGTAACCCCAGAGCCTGGCCTGGCCGGAGACTGCAGCTTTGGCTCCAAGACCAGCAGTAAATGGTGGTGCTGACCACGCAAAGGGTGAACGGCCACCTCCCCTCCTCTATGTCTCCCTTATTGGCTGGTTCACACTTCTCAGTAAAGACACTGAGGTCACAGTTTATAGCATGAGCCTGGTTTCGACCTCTACAGGGGTAGCACTGAAGGGTGAGTAGAAGCCTAAACTGGGGCTACCAAGAATGGCTGAGGGATCTCAAGCAAGTTACCCAGTACCTCCACGCTCGTTTACACAGCCTTACACAGTCAGGTCCTCCACCCCACCCCTGCAGAGAGTGGCTTGTGTGCGCTCAGGGAGCTGTTGAGAAAAGAAGTCTGTGCCACATGAGATGCCCAGGTAAGCTATGCCTGGCGGTGCCCACCTATAATCCCAACACTTGGGAGGCTGAGGCAGGAAGACCATGAATTTGAGGCCAGCCTGGGCTACATAGTAAGACCCTGTCTCTCCAATAAAAGACAGAGGATCGCTAAGCTCTCCTGACAAGCCCAGAAGCAGGGAGCAGGGCCCACACTTAGTCAGTCTCCAAGAACAAAACAAGTGCAGGAGACACTGAATGGACCACAGGCACAGGCCGACTCCCCAGAACAAACAGACCCAGAGAGGCTAGTAAACCTGTTCAGGCTCGGACAGCTGCTGCAGGGGCACCAGCATTGTACCCGGAGCTTGGCACTCTCTTTACCACACATCCTCCTTTCACAAGGCTGACTCAAACTTGGATGATCTAAAAGCCACACCAGTGTAATCTACAGAGCTCCCTGTCCCCCTGCAGCCCTCTGGGCCAGTGAATGTTCACCTGGGTCCACTGCTACTGGGCACTGCTGCCACCCAGGAGCTCCCAAAGTGGAGGAACCCAGGGCTCCTGCCAGCTGCTGCAGGATGGGGCTGCTCAAGTTAAAGCAGCTGAAGACAGCTTAGAAACATGACCTCCTGCCTCCTGCTTGGAGCTGTCTGCCCCAGCGGACAGGAAATACAACAGCAGGAAGCTTCCTGCCTCCAACACTGCACACCCCACTGCTGACTTCCTGGGGCTGCATGGAGGATCTGTAGGTCCAGTCCTGGATGCCCTGGGCACCCCATCAGCAGACAGTCTGGGAATAGTTGGGAACTCCAAACAATACGGTTAAGTCTAGGGGCATGACAGGGAAAGGGTAACTAGCCTGCAGAATTCCAAGCACACATTTACAGCTAATGGCTCCAAAATTATCCAGAGACCTATGAGGTACAAGACACCTGCTTTAGATGTCAGAACCCCAACTCCCTATCCTGGCCCAAACAGGGTCTGTTTCCATATGTCCCTCTGAGTAGCTTGGCTGCTTTGAGGTGGTGACTCAACTTCTCTGAGCCCACACTCAGGGTGACCGGCAGCCAGGCCAGCATCCAGAGTTGCATCATCACTGCGTGGACACCCACAACAAGCACATTCCCATGCCCTGCTGTGTTTCAAAGTTTAGCAATTCCTTGTGATTGGTTTCACAGGAGCAGGAATGGAAGAAACCAAAAAAGAATGAGTTTCAAGATTTCAGGTCATGAAATTCTGATTTTTTTTGTTTGTTTGTTTGAGACAGGGTCTCCCTATGCCATTCAGGCTGGCCTTAAGCTCATTTTGTAGCCCAGGCTGGTCTCAAACTTGCAACAAACCCCCTGCCTCAGCCTCCTGAGTACTGGGATTACAGGCATACACTACCATGCTTGGCTTAACGTTCTGATTTTCACGTACTCCAAACAAACTCAATGCAGAAATCTGCAGTCAGACACACACACACACACACACACACACACACACACACACAGCACATTTCAGATATCCTGCAGCAGGGCTTCTCTACTTTAATTTGTGCAGAAATCGCCTGGGGATTTGGGGGCAAGCAGGGGAGCATGGGCCAAAAAGGCTGCACTTACTTCTAAGAGCTGCCGGAGAAGCTGAGGGTCTGAGCAGCCTCTAGAGCAGCAAGGTTGTCCAGAATCCCTGAAGTAGGTAGGAGTCAACCCTGGGAAAGGCCGATTTGATCGACAGAACACGTCCCAAGAACCCTGGAGGCAGTGTGGAACCACACAGGGTAGCAGGGTCCCAGAGAAAGGCAGATGGAGACAGGAGAGCTGGCCATGCCTGGGCCTGGTGAGGGGCTGCGCGCCATGCTGTCCGGGCAGCTGACAGCACCAGCCCCTCAGCACACCTCAGACAAAGGTCTCAAAAGCAGCACAACAAAGGCAACAGAGAGTCGCAGGGTGTCTCAAGTTGGTCACCATCCCCTAGCCTGGCTGGCCTGTTTTCAAAGATCTTCCTGAAATCAGCTTTATCTCCCCATCTTTGTACCTCCAAATTGATGCTGTTTCTGTTGACAGCTGTCATTAAAAAGTGCCCGTCAAGTTGCCAGGTCCGGACTGGTCAGGAGTGGTAAAAGGACCATGACAGGCAGGGAAGGGTGCCTTCTACAGTGAGGACGGATCAATGAAACCTGTCTACCAGTCGACCTAGACCGGCCCTGCACACTGACTTAGAATAACAACGCATGTTTATTATAGTTGCTGTCATGCTCCGCTGCTGGGCTTGGGCTCAAACTCTAGTCACTCTGAGCCAGGCTGTGATGTCAAGCACTGCACGCTGCCCAGGACTGCTGAGTGTGCATGCCCCACCCTGCTAATGGACAGAAGCATGCTCAGGCAAGAAATGCCACCTCGGGACTGTTACCTGTGCCCAGGGCCCAACTCATCCGTGCAATCACCAGGCTACTGCCTGGCTCCACACCCTGGCCCTGCACACTCCTAGCCATGCTTCACACCAAGTCAGTAGTGATTACGCCTGCTGGGAAGAGTGCACTTCTGGGTGAGCCTGTCTGGCTATCTAAGGGAGGACCTGGGTTTGCCACAGGCCACCTTGTTTCTTAGGCCACAGCAAGCCTGGCCTCAGGGGAACACTCCTGGAGGGGCTGCAACAGGGAACATTCTTTCTGCCCATTTTTGTGCCTGGGTATGGATGGGAAAAGCCTATCCCCAGAGGAGAAACTGAGGCTGCAGCCCACCTAAATTACTGTGCAGAGATAGAGTCTGCAATGTCACTGATTACGCTGATGGCCTCCCTGTTATCTAAGTTGCCTGCATTTCCCTGCCTGCTCCCCACTCTGGCTGCCCTCCACCAGCGCAGTTTCACTGGCCAAAGACACCTAACACCAAATGCCCCCTGAACAGAGGGGCTGTGTGCCCTGGCTATTTCTTGAGTAAACAGATGTCCACCGGTTCAGCTTTTGATAAGATGCCAAACACCTACAGACAACTTAAATTAGCAGGTACAAGCTTTTAACCAACATTATCAAATTCATCTTCAAACTGGAAGAAGGGGTCGAGTTCCCTCCCTGCCCTCTGCCCTGTGAGCCCGATGCCAGACACAGGAACAATTTACCTCTTCTTAGTTAAGAGGAAAACGTGCTTCCCCTGAGCTGCAGAACCCCCATCTCTCCTAGCGACTCCAGCTGTCGGTCTCCCAGTTTCGGCTCCCTGCAGGGCCAGCTGAGCCTCAGGGTCTAGACCCGGTTTCAGGAAGTTTGTGATAGCTCTTTGTACTGGGAGGTTTAGGAGCTACTTTTTAAAGAGCTCATGCAACTCTCAACTCTGAGGCTACAGCACAGGCGTGGTGCTCCCAGTCTAGGAGCGCCAGACTCGTGTACACACACACAAACACATACACGTGATTACATGCTCCCCGCGACCCTTCCTCTTTCGCGTGTCTTTGTGGCTCAGGATTCGGCCCCAGACCTCTGGGAGCCACGGGCTCGGCAGAGTGGGGAGGGGGCACCCGTCCTCCAACCCCCAGCCGGCCGCGCGGCGCACGGGGCACAGGGAGAGAATTCAGCGCAGCGCGTCCAGGACACTCACCGGGACCTCTGCAGCTGCTCGAAGGCTCCGGCACAGCCGCCCGGGCCGGGCTGCTCCAGGGAGGTCTGCCGGGAGAAGGCGATGGGCAGGATTCCCTGAGTGAACGAGTTGAGGCGGCCCCGACTGCCGCTCGCACTGCCGGGGGTCCCGGAGCCCAGGAAGGCGGCCGCGGGCACCTGCACGCTGGCGAAAGCGTCGTCCTCCTCCAACTCCTCCTGCCCAGGCCCCTCGGGCTGCTGCAGCGGGGCGCAGGCGGCGGGGGGCGCCGGCCGGGGAGGCAGCGACAGCTCCCCCGACGCGCGGGGCAGCGGCCAAGGCTGCGGGGCGCAGGGGCCCGGCGCGGCGAGCGCGCTGCAGCCGGCGGGCAGCGGGCTGAGCCGAGCCCTGGCGCCCGCCCTGGGCGCGCCGCCGCCGTCGCCGCCCCACTCGTCCTGCAGCGGCGGCCGCCCGTCCAGCGAGATGTTGGTGAGGAAGGACAGGGCAGCCTGGCGCCGCCGCGGGTCCACGCGCGGCTTCCGGGGCTGCTCGGGCGGCAGAGGCGGCGGGGGCCCCGGCTGCTTCTGCGGCTGCAACGCGCCGGTGCTCGCGGCGTCGGAGCCGGGGGTGCCGCTGCCGCAGGCGGCCGTGCCGGGGGTGGCGGTGGCCGCCGCCATTGTGTCCGTCTGCGGCGCGAGTTCCGCGGCGCCCGGAGGAGCGAGCGGCGCCGAGCGCTAAGCGGCGGGCGCGAGCCGCGGCGACCCGGGCTGGGCAGGGCGCGGGGCGCGGGCAGCTTGCGCGGCGGCCCGGCCCCCCCGCGGGCGCGCCATGCTGGGGCTCGGGGCTCGGGGCTCGGGCCTGGGCCTGGGCGCCCACCCCGCGGCTTCCTGCGCGCAGCGGCTCGCGGCCCGGGCCGGCCTTCTGTGTTTGTAGGTGCGCGCGCCCCGCGCTCGCGCTCCGAGCAATAACACAGTATCACGTGTGGGCCGTGAAACCTGGGAGGAAAACAAAGCCGCAGGCGGCGGCCGCGCGGGCAGGGCGGGAGGCGTGCGGCCCGAGGAGGAGGAGGAGGAGGACGAGGAGGAGGAGGACGACGAGGAGGAGGAGGAGCGGCAGCGCAGCGGGAGGAAGGGCGAGCCGGCGCGCGGCGGGGCTGGCGGCCCGGGTCGGCCCTGCCCCGGCGGCCCAGTCGGTTGCTCCCGCGGCGCGCGGAAGCCAGGTGCGGGAGGCGAGCGCGTCACCCCGGCGTGCTGGTTCCGACAGTTAGGGGCGCTCGCGGGACCCCTGGGCTCCCGGCGTGGGCCTTGCTGCAAGGAGCGTCGGGGGTCTGCAGGGCAGTCATTTGGAGGGACGCAGGGCTGCGAACAGCGAGCGCGTAAACGGCCGCGCTGCCGATGGGCCCGACAAGCGGGTCCTCACGGATGTCACAGGCGGACGCCGCACCTGAAAGCGCTCTGGTCACCGACCCCGTCCCAGGGCACAGACAGGCATGCACTGGGGCCCGTTGGAAGCCCAGATATGCGAGCACCTTCGTGTGGCCGGGCTCGATTTCCACGGGCCCATTTCATGGTGCTGGTACTTTTCATCTCACAGCGAAGGCCAACATGAATTACTTTGGCCTTGCGGTGTGTTTCATTTCTGTGTAGACCGAGGCGCCTTGCCAATTTTTGTGGATTATATGGGCCCATAAACTGGGATCGATACGAACAGTTTCTCTCAGTCACTTACTTCATAAACATGCATTTTGCATCCACCACGTGTTCTAGAAAGTCGAGCTTCTGCCCGAGGACACGGTGACCCTTCCAGAGTGGAGGCTCAGTCTGGGAAATCACAGCCCTACCCCCATCAATTGCCCATCTGGGCTGAGGTGCGGGCTTCTTACTCGGTGCAGCACGGAACAGTTGTCACATGTAGCATTCAGCTGTGAGACGCCTAAGAAACAACTGCTACACTTTGCTGAAGGAGGAGTAATGTGTTTAAGATCAACGGATTAATTTAATTAAAGGTTTAAATTTAGCCCTGGAGCTAATGGGTAACTCTACATTGAAATTCCACTCGGTTTCGAGTTCAGGAAAGTAAATTAAGTAAAGGAGAACAAATACACGCTGTCCAGAGATGCCCAGCCCATGCCAAGAGGGTGGACTTCAGGTTACACGGGCTCAGCAAAACAGGTCGCACGGCCCTTTGCAGGAACAATGGTTCATATTTTTATTTTTGTGCCGTTTTTAGGCCATTTGAAAAAAGCAGTGTCTGGTGTTTTTTTCCCTCTGTAGCTTTTACAACAGCAGCTAAGGCAAAGCTTGGTGACCAAGCCTAGGAAATTTCATCAGGATTTTAATTACTTTGTTGAACTACCTTGAAAAACTTGGAGTTCGAAGTCTTACAAGCAACTTAATTTGCATGACCAACTACTGGCCTGGCTGTGCAGTCAGGCCGTGTTAAATGAAGATTTCTACTCTGCTTCTGTGAAAGAAAAAGTCCTTTATTGTGTAACCGGTAAAGTTAATGACAAAATGTTAATTACAAAAATGATACATTTGAAGAAAAGCAGAGGGAAGCAAAAGGATCCCTGGCAGTTTCCTACGGAAATGCCTTAATATTTTGATTCCTATCTTGTGGGTTTGTGTTTGCTTTATACTGGGGATGGAACCCCAGACCTTTGCACTAACCTACACCCCCGCTCCCTTTTTTATTTCTTGTTTTGAGACAAAGTCTCACTAAGTGACTAAGTTACCCAAGGCTAGGCTCAAACATGCTGTCCTCTGCCTCAGCATCCTGTCTCAGCCTCTGATGTCTTTTTTTTGTTTTGTTTTGTTTTAATAACAGAAATCCATGGCATATCATGTTTTTAAGACGTTTTCTCCAGAAAGACTTTTCCAGTTGGCTTTCTTACATTGCTGGGTATTAACATTTTTTTCATCAATAGCCATTTATTTGCCTATTTGGTGTAACTCTTCACCTATTTTAAGTGCCAACTGTAGAAACTAATTTCAAACATTTATTGGAGCCTCAAACAGGAGTTAGTATCTATTAAACTCCATATTTCTGCAATCTTATGGGGGGGGTCATGAGAATTAAGATTTATTGTTCACGTACTGTGTACCAGCCAGAGCGTATTGCTAACCTCTGTGACCCCCCCCCACACACACAGTGATGATGACAGGGGAGTTAGCATTAATATTTCAAAGACAAGGCTCAGAAAATTTGAATAATTTGCCCATGTCTCCCCACTCACTGTGGCTGGGTCAGTTTGACTGGGAGACTCATGTGTGTTCTTGCGCCCCCTGCTGGTAAGGATGTTTTACAGGCGGGGACCCTGTCCTGCTGTCATCCTGAGTTTATCCTTTAGAGTCCACTGTAATGGAAATAAACAAGCGTTGGAGAAAGGATCTCAGCCTGTGCTTTAACCTCTCTGAGCCCATTTCCTCTGTGGGTTCTGTGAGGCACAGATGGGGCAGCATAAGGAGTGTCTTATAAACCTTATTTTTAAAATGTCAGTTATTATGCCATTCTCATCTACTTAATTCCTGAAGTCCTAAATTCTTTTATTTTCTACTATTACTTGCTTGATCAAGTATAATTGAGAAACTTCTACATGTACAGTACCATTTTGGTGACAGATAGAAAAAAGTGTGTGATTCTTAACTCTTGTATCCTGATAGTTAAAATAGTAGAAAACACACTCAGGGCACATTTAGAGAAAAGTACAGCATTGGCTTTGACTGTGAGTCAGATGAGCAGCGTGTCATCAGAATGTGGGGAGGAGCTCTTAATCTGAGGTGAGCTATGGGGAGGATCTGAGCTGACCTGGGAGATAAAGGAAGCCTGGAGAAGGGGAAGTGGTGAAGAGGAAGTTGCTAGTTTTGATCTGCAGTGTCCCCAGAGGCCTGTGTGGCAAAGGCTTGCTCCTAGGGAAGCACCGTTAGGTGGTGGAACATGTGGGACGGGGATGGCGAACCTTTTAGAGCTTTCGATGGTAACTAACAGCCTGAGGCACCACACGTGCCTTAGGTTCGCCACCACTGCTCTAGGTGGTGGGCTCTGGCGGGAGGAAGTTAGGTCACTGAGGCTGCCCTTGTAGGAATCTGCGACACCCTAGTCCCCTCCTCTGTTTTTGGCTTCTGGGCCATGAGATAAGGGGTTTTGCTCTATCTCAGGCTCCTACCTATGCATCCAGCTCCACGTTGTGGGGTCCTTGCCATAAGCTCAAAAGCAATGGGACCAGCTGATCATGAACTGACATCTCCAGAGCTAGGAGCCTAAGTAAAGCCTTCCTCTTTATAAGCTGAATATCTCAGGCATTGGTTACAGGGACATAAAACTGACCAACACAAATTTTGCACACATGCCTTACGTATTACAGGCACAGAGAACTAAGACTTGAAATATAATTCCTCTTGGTCTTCCAAGGTTCCTCCTCCCGCCTGTACTTTCTTTTTATTTTTTTTAAATTTTATTAGTACCTGTTTGCGGGGCATAATGATCACCTTCCTTGTGTGGAGTTATGTGCATGCACATAACACTTCTTAATTTTTTTCATCCCTTTCCTTCTCCTTTCTCCCCTCCATCTCTTGGTCCCCCTCCCTTTTGCAAAAGATCTATCTCTCTGTTTCCTATTATCTGTTTTATTTTGCTCTTTATTTCCACTTTGAGTTTCTTATGTAAGAGAAACCATGTGATATTTAAGTTTGTGCATCTGTTTTATGTCACAGCTTTATGGTCTCAAGATGCATTCATTCCCCACCTTCACTTTTATATTGCTCCTTTTATGCTTGCAGTCTGAAAACTTGTTTTATATGCATAACCACCAAATGCATATACTGTTTGGATTAACACAGCATTGGGTGTTGATTAAAAATAAAAAAAAAACCTGCAAGTAGTGACTGTGCCATTAAAAAGTAATGAGTAAATCAAGAAGTCTGAGAAGTAGCTTAGAGATGTGGTGGCCATCACACATACTACCTGATGGAGTGGACATATGACTATAGACCCAGACCCAGGTTCCAGTGCCCGTTTAACCATGAAAACGTGACCTTAGGAGATCTCCACTTGCACTGCAGCAAACTATAAGCTTTGTGCCTTGATGGTCTTGTCTGTAAAGGTAGGTTGAACAACTTGTGAGGGTCACTGGTAATATAATTTATGTATCCCACAGTGACTGGCATTCACTGGGGAGCTGCTATTAGAAAAATGTAAAATATAAAAGGTGCACCTAGAAAAGACCAGGATGTCCAAGGTTCTAGGCTTTGTAGTTTTTGTCGGTCCTGCCATGCAGGCAAGACTGAGAAACTCTAACCGCCCGCTCTGGCTCAGATGAGGTTATTTTACTGCCTGTTTCATCCAAGTGCAGGCTGAGTGCTGCAGAACACGCAGCAGACCCGCAGATCAGAAACATGCCCTGCTGCCGCCCTCAGCCTACCAAGTAAGAGCCTCCAGAGCTGGAGATGGGATGTTCCAGAGGAGTCCTCGTGCCTCACCTCTTCTCCCAGCGGGTGACTTTCCCCAGAGGGCCTTGTGGTCACATCTGTTGGCCTGGAAGAAAGGAGATCATTTCCTCCTTTGTAATCTGGCATAGTTCCTTAAGTGAAAAACCAAAGGAAAGAAAAAAACGGGCGATGGGTGTGTCCGTTGAACTGTATGAACAGTCCCATAAAAAAGGTGTTACTGATTCATCAGCTCGGGCTGAGAGGAGGTTTTGGTATGGAAATCTCACACTGGGGAGGACAAGAAACAGTGTTGTCAGTTATGCTTTCTCCGTCCACAGCCTTGCTAGAGGTGAGAGAAAGTGCTGACTTCTTC